ATGAAATCACATTTAGTTTAACAAGATATGAACAGTGACATTAATGATTCTTTTAATATATGTAGAAAATATGAAAAAAACTGATGATGTCGGGTAGAAACAGGTATCTACCTCAGTACAATGGAAGTTGGTCGCGCAATTTCGTGGATTGATTGATGTTAGACACTATCACAATTGGATGCCGGCTCAGTGGCTCAGTAGGTTAAGCGTTCGCACGCGAGACCGAAGGCCCTGGGTTCGAATCCGGCGAGCGGGATTATGGATGCGCACTGCTGAGGAGTCCCACAATAGGACGAAACGGCCGTTCAGTGCTTCCAGGTTTCCAAAGGTGGCCTAACATCAATCGGTCCATGATCTCAATCAAAATAAAAGAAACCTGATCATAAACCAAACTATATATATATATATATGTATATATATATATATATATATAGAGAGAGAGAGAGAGAAAGAGAGAGGACTGCAAGTTACGTAACAGATATTTTATTAATTCACCAGTGATAAATCATGTTTTGTTTTTATTTCAGCTGTCACTGAAATGTTTTTTTGGTTTTACTTTTAATTAATGTTGTGTTGATGAATTATTTACGAATATTTTTTTATCTAATTACTTCACTAGGGATAGTTTAACGAACGTAAACAGGTGGGGACGACCAAAAGTCTCATAACATGAAATTACAGAGTTGTTTTCTTCAAATGTGAAAACCATACATTCAATTCTTCATTTCCAAAATATCCATCAATTGTCTCAAACTTTGTTGTTCCTTCGTATCCATACCGATCACTCTCTGTTCTCGTTCTCTTCTCTTCTATTTCCTTAACCTTCTGCTGCTAGGCATTTCACCTTCAATTGATGATACATACTACTTATAATCTGATGACATCAGTAACACACATCACAATATGATTATTTATCATAAATCCTTTTAAAATTGTTATAACTTGTGGTTATATGACCTTATCAATGTATAACTTAGTGATAACGCCAATTAGACAACATTGATTTATCGAACGGACCAATGACACATAAAACCCGTACGAGCAGTCTAGAGTCTTTTTATCGGTCCTGCTTCCTGCTTAGCTGTGCCTGTTAAGTCCAAAACACCAATCTCAGCCTCCGCGATATGAATCATCTAGTTCAAACATACTGGGTTCATATACAAACCAAACAGACCACATCGTGCCATAAAATAGGAAATAACATTTGTACAAGATCTAGCCAGAAGTGGCTGTGAATGTGGGAGACTGTAATTAATAGATTGGGCATAACTGACGAATGGTAAATCGTATAATCATATTTCATAGATCAAAATGAAGCTTATAATGAGAGGAACATGAATATGCATAGTTTAGTTATTTAATAATTATACAATAAAAATAAATGTATAATATTAATCCAGAAATAGATTTCAACAGTTATCATTCATTATTCTCATTGGGATATAACAAAAACAAAATATATTACTCATTCATAAAAATTACATAATATTTAATCCTGTCAATTACATTGATAGGGGCATATTAATAATATGTAATAATATAAAACATTTCAATAATTAATTGTTTCCAATAATATAACACTATCTATGGTATTGTTCATTAAGATATACAAAGATTCAAATAGGTTATTCTAATATGAAAATATTATCAATCAAAGAGATTTTAATTGCATATATTAATTAATTTTAAGAAACTAATTAATCGATTAATTAATTCATTCATTAATTAGTTGATTAATTAATTAATTTCCCATTTCTGATCATGTGACTTGATTTCGATCTGCTGCTTTATTGAATGTAACGTAATGAATTATTGAGAAATTTTTATATAAATACTAAATTTCAATGGTTAAGATCATGAGTCAGTTGAAGCTAGATCACCATGAAAAACCTGGAAGCGCTAGACGGCCGTTTCGTCCTACTGTGGGACTCCACGGTAGTACGCGCCCACGATCCCACCTCGCAAGATTTGAACCCAGGATCTACAAGTCTCGCACGCGAGCGCTTAACTATTAGACCACTGAGCTGGCCGGCATCCAAAGGTGTTAATGTCTACCTTCAACTAACCCACGAAATTGAGTGACACATTCACCATTTATGTATCAATAATAGACTCACTATGGTTTCGACCAACGATCCCATAATTTTAATGGTTGAGATCATAAGTCAATTGAAGCTAGATCACTATGGAAAAACACTATCCGGCTCAGTGGTCTATTGGTTAAGTGCTCGCGTGCGAAACCAGTAGGTCTTGGGTTCGAATATTGCAGGGGGCGAGGTCGTGGATGCGCACTACCGAGAAGTACCACAATAGAACGAAACGGCCGTCCAGTGCGTCTAGGTTTCCCATGGTGGTCTAGTTTCAACTGATTCATGATCTTAACCATTGATATTACTATAATATCCAAAAAACCCATCAAACATCAATTAACACTACTGATAAAATACAACACAAAATATTATTATTAAAATTCGCCATAGATAATATAAATAATTTGTAGTGTGGTGCGTGCTACTTATATTGGTATAAGTAGTATATAATGCGAGTCAGGAGTGTAATGCCTGGCAGCAGAAGATGGGGAAGATCAAGAAAGGAAGAACGGGGATAGAAAGCAGTTAGTATGAAAATGCAACAACGATGAAGTTCGAGACAATTATTGAACATTTTGTAAATTAAGTATTATAGTATGGTTTTTCTATTTTACCAAGTAACTCTGTAATTTTCTGCAGTTTTGATTGTCTATCTAGATATATCACAAGAAAAAACAACTTTAAACTGAATAAAATGTCGTTCAGTTTTAAAGGAATTCTTATAACTTATTCTTGTTTGAAGTTTATACTAATGACATTAACTAGTAAGTTGTGAAAAGCTTTAAGATTAAACTGTTCAACTTGAATAGAGTAATTTTCACAATCTATCAAATATCAATGTATCCATACTGTAAGTGAACTAATAACGACAAAAAAATAATAAATATTCCTCTTCATTCATCCATTTACATTGTTTTCATTATAGCCTGAAAATATATTGTGTTTATCAGCGACCAGTTTTAAAACAAAAATTATTGATTTTGGATTAGCTAGATTTTATCAAGATCAAAATTTATGCGTTCTGTTTGGTACACCAGAATTTGTCTCACCTGAAGTAATCTCATATGAACCAGTTTCACCTGCAGCTGATATGTGGTCACTTGGTGTAATATGTTATGTAATGTAAGTCTATATAGTTTCTGATATAATTTCTAAAGAAAAGAAACGAGATAGGTGTTTATGTATATTAGTAATAATCTGTAGTTTACTATAACAGAATACGGTTTTGTAATTACCATTATTTTGTCAGTCGACAGCTGTTTTGTCCTAGTATGAAACTTCTTAACATGATGCATCCATTATTCCTCATTGGGGAATCGAGCCATGAAAGTTCTGTGATCTCGACAAATCCCCTCTCTACAAATAGTAATTATGATGAGATTTCTGAAATTCTAGTAAAAATATGTGACCAGTTGTTTTCAATTATCTCGGACGTGCGACAGTTGTCCACAAAAAGCTATGGATGACTGTTAAACAATATAGTGAATTGTTGAAAGCCAGACATTAATAACACTGAGTGCGGGCTCAGTAATTTGGATGTTAGGTTTTGGGCTCAAAACCGAAATTTCTAGGTTCGGTTCTCGGATACCGGATCATGGATACACACTCGAGCAGTCCTATTATAGTAGGACGAGACGTCAGTTCGCCCATTCCAGGTTTCCAGTTGTGATCTAATCAAGATCAGTTCATGATTTAAACAGAGAAAACATGTTTTGTTCTGTCTTTCGTTCAATTTGTATATTTAATTCGTGTTTTAAAGAAATGCATAGTAAGTACTAGTTATATTGATATTGAGAGTGTGATCCGATCGGTTAAAAATATAATCTAGCCCGTGTCATTTAGTTCAGACTATCAGGTTGGGGACCATATAGTAACCGGAATTAGTGATTGGAGGCGTTGGATGTCATAATTAAAAATAAGTCTTTGTGGCAACAGTTTATCCATTCTTTGTCGTCACTTAGATCTTGAGTCTGGAAATTACCTTATACTTTTCTTTTCTGCTAATTCATTCTTTCCTTTGTATTCAGATACACTATGTTTACTTTTTTTACTATTCCGATATTATCACTACTTATACCGCCCATCTTAATGATTTCATCTATATGCTAGGATCTAGGTTACTTATGACTGACTGGCTAACTGACTTTATATCTTGTTTAGTCACAAAAAATAACTCTGCCAGTGTTAACTTCATGCCTTTTGGTGAGGGAACAATGAACTGGACATTTAACAAGTCTCTGCTTACACTAAAGAGACATCGTAATCGTTTATGAGTTATATATATACAATCTGTATAAAATAGTTTTTTTGAATGAAAGCTTAGAATTAGTTGCATTGACACTGATATACTCACTATTTACCTTTAGACTTTGAATCTCACCATTCTATCATATATACCTTACACTCTCTCTTCGAAGTATATTCTTAATGTTTACTTTCTCATTATAATTATTATCATACTGATCAATCTTTTTTTATTATTTTCATCTTATCGTGTTAATGAGACTTGATAATTTCAACTAACAAACATTTGTGGCGGGCTTTGTATCCCGTGCTTCCCTTCAGATGTGGAATCCCTCATAATCCAGCCAACTACCAGAAGAAAGATAAAAGGGGAGAGCAAGCAGCCTTGTCTGACTCCTGTTTTCAGTAATAACTGAATCTTCATAAAGAGCACATTTTGAAACCACTGTTTATCAATGTTTATTTATAACTTATGTTTCTTTTCCAAATTACTTATTACCTATTATTAGGCTTTCTGGATTGTCCCCATTTATGGGTGAAAGTCAAGGAGAAACATTAGCTAATATTATACGAGTGAAATACAATTTTGATTATACAGAATTTGCAGAAATTTCAAATGATGCAATGGATTTTATTCGGAAACTTTTAGTGAAAGACCCAAGGTAATTCATACTGACATAACGGATTGTTTAAAATATTTTTTTATCTCTTACAAAGTATACTACAATAATATGTTATTACGATAATAAACCTAGATACTTTATATCAGATCCAGGATACACGGCCCAGAATGGAGAACCAAAGTGAGTATAAACTAGATAATACTTTATTCAACACAATTACAAGCAGTCACTCTCAATGAGTTCGGAATAGAAATCAATAAAAAGAAACTTCCTTATGCCTGTTACCTCTCGTGGAGGAGTGTAAACAACCCAGCAGTGTTCGCCATCCAACTCTGTCCTGGATAATCCTTCCCAGTTGCTATTCATCCCTTTCATGTCTTCTTCCGATCCTCGACACAGTGTTTTCTTTGGCCTTCCACTTTTCCGTCTCTCCTCAGAATTCCAAGTAAAGGATTGCCTCGTGATGCAGTTTGGTGATTTCCGTAATATGTGTCCTATCCACTTCCAACGTCTTTTCTTAATTTCCTCTTCATCTGGAAGCTGGCTCGCTTCCTCCCACAGTAGGCTGTTGCTCATGATATCCGACCAACCGAAATTCCGTATCCTGCGTAGACGATTGTTTATAAATACTTATACTATTTTGATAATGGTTGTGGTAGTTCTCCAAATTTTATCTCCGTAGAGTAGAACTGTCTTGATATTCGTATTGAAGATTCTGACTTTGACATTGTTTGACAATTGTTTTGAGTTCCATATATTCTTTAACTATAGGAATGCTGCCCTTACTTTGCCGATCCTTGCCTTTATATCTGCATTGAATCCTCCTCGTTTATCGATGATGCCTCCCTAGTACGTGAAAGTCTCCATCAAATGTGATTGGTTTGGTGCCCTCCGTGTTGTATTTGAGGATTTCGCTTTTTGCTTTGTGCATGTTGAAGCCTACTGATACAGAGACTGCTGCTACACTAGTTTTCTTCATCTGCATTTGTTCGTGTGTATGGGATAGAAGAGCTAGGTCATCTGCAGAGTCCAAGTCGTTTAATTGCATCCCAGCTGTCTAATGTATCTCGTGCTTTCCTTCAGATGTGGAGGCCTTCATAATCCAGTCAACCACGAGAAGAGAAAGGGGGAAAGTAATCAGCCTTGTCCGACTCCGTTCCTCACTTGGAATGCGTCTTTCAGCTGTCTTCTATACACGACTTTGTAGTGTATTCATTCATGATTTTGATTTACTTCCGTGGTCAAATATACCCGTACCACCATTTTTTGTGTTCTCGTTCGATTCAGTGCTCTAGTACAAAGTATATGTCAGTCAAGCATTCTGCAGGCAAAACAAGGACAGTAATAAAAATATTTTTTACAGTTAGGGAGTAAATGATCCAAATGTTTTAGGTAAGTGGCTAAACGAATAGATCACTGGGTTAGATTGTAGCTTCAGCTAATTCAATCCCAATAATTTGCAGATCAAACAAATCTGAGTACATAAACTTCTACATGATAGATGAATAATATGTATTTTTAGAAACAGACTGTTAACGGGAAACAGATTGGATTAAAACACATTCCGTGCACGATTGTGTTGGTACACGCTGGTTGGCTGTTTCCTATGTAATTAGCGCTAGTCAACACTTGGAGAACACTCTAGAATCTCACATAGAAACTATAAATATACCAACTTTTTTCCTATTGTGAGTCTTACTTCCATCTACCCTTGTTATTTGGAATATAATTTCGTTCCTGTTCAACCGTTTTCTGATTTGGGGACTTATCGAGTGAATTGGTGTCCAAGAATACTAAGCAATAGGAATAACTGGTTTGTAATAAGTGAGAATTAAAACACAAACACAGCTATATATCAAGAATAATGTTAAAGTTGACTTACTTGATACTTAAAATGAGACCAATAAAACAGAATTTATACTTCTTTTCATTTTCTATAACATATAGCTAATAATTTCTATTTTCTTTTCTTTATATATATAACATATTACTTCTGTCTTCTTTGCTTTGGTTACAGAAAACGAATGACAGCCACTGAATGTTTACAACATCAATGGTTAAAGGTAAATGTCTCATAACGTAAAATCCTGTTTATTTTGTAATTAGTAAACAAAAAATATATTAGTATCAGAAGGGGTTTTGTGGATATTATAGTAATTTTTTAATAGTTGAGATCATGAATCAATTGAAACCAGATCGCCATGAAAAAACCTGAAAGCACTGGGAGTTCGTTTCGTCCTATTGTGGGACTCCTCGGTATTGCGTATCCACGATCCCGCCTCGTGAGATTCGAGGTTTCCAGGTTTTCCATGATGGTCTAGCTTCAATTGATCCATGCTCTCAACTATTAAAAATATATTATTTCCTGTAGAAATATTCTAAATCATAGACTGATAATTAGATGGAAAATTACTGAAAACTAAACTTCTCTCTCACATACTTTCTTTACATTGAACTAATCTCTACAGTTCATTTAGTCTAATAGTAATAAGTATGAAGTCGTTGTACACTGATGAGGAGTTCAGTAGTACAACAAAACAGCTTCTCTATCAATTTCTGGTTTTCAATAGTTTTCTATTTATTAACTTCGTCATTTGATCATAAGTAACGTAAAAACTGGCAAATATGTGTATGTATGCAGTTCACTACATCGTTTTATCAATATAAATGTCAGAATAGTAAAAACAGTTACTACACCATTTGTGGTAGAAAACATTAGGCATCAAAAATAGGATTCATGAGGAATAAATTCTTGAAATAGAAAGTATAAAACAATCTAGGATGAGACAAAGAGTGAGTGCATTTACGTCGATTTTGCGCCATGTCATTTGTTATTTACATCAATCGCGCATGACCAAACAAGGTAGTCTGCACTTACTAATAGTGGATCAGTCCAACAATCAATAATTTCACGGACTGATGTCCTAAAGGAGATACTCACATCCTAGTACTCATGTTTACTTTAGGACTCGTACCCAGTACATTTCATTTCAAACGCTCAACAAGTTACACACTGAGCTGCTAAGTTTGGTTAGTCAATGATTTAATCAATAGACATGATGTTTCTATCATTACTAGTAATATTTCGAACGATCCCAAAATCTATCTTTTCGAATGATAACTTATAATCGGCAAGATCTATTAGCTCTAAATATAAGTTTTAAAAAAGCTGTTCACCATCGAGTTTACTCCTAAAGAGAAAACTTTTGAGACTACAAATATACATATTCATTTTTTTTCAAACTACGTTGTATTTCATTGAAAATCGCCATTCAATGTACACAATTCACTTTACACGGTTGTTCTCTTTGTAATTTCTTTGATCATCTTTTTAATTCTTGACATTTATTTTCTGAATTCTTCACATGCTTTTCTAATAGCAAAAGAAAAAAACACCATCACGTTCTGGAACAGTTAGTAAAAAACGTCTGAAACATTTTGTTTATCGACGTAAATGGCAAGTAAGTGTTTGTGTGAAAGAATTAGCATTTTCTTCATTATTTAGTTTGTATATTATGTTCAGTTTGCATGATTTACCAAATATGATGTCCTGTACCATTTATTTTGTAAATAAATATTTTACCTGTGGTGCATATATTGGGATACTATTCACGATCTGATTGGTAAATAATTTCAGTTAAGGACGTCATTGCTAAAATAGGTGGTTTGTGGATATTTTCTAATTTGAAGTTAGTTTACATCAGGGATTGAAATAAAGTAGACTGCATTGGATAGTCGTTTCATCTAAATTAGAAAATTCTCATTATTGAGTATCATGAGCCTTAACATGTAGAGACCGGTCTTCAGTTAATAAGCGGCTTATAATCCCACCACTAATCAATGGTCCACATTTCCTAATTCTGTGTTTCTTACGATCAAGCAGAGGTGTTAAATAGCGTGTCATTTTACGTAGCTAAAGATAGTTCCAGTCCTCTCAAGATTGTAGGTGCACCTTGCTGAAGAGTGTCAACTAGCAAGAAACTTAAGTCCCTATTGTCCTACCGGTCACCTCCAACCAAATCAATATAGTCTACGCGATATCAAGTCACTTGGAATATTGATACCATCTCAAAGCTAATTAATAGCAAATAATTATTATTTGAGTGGTTTGTGAAGATTAACTCAGTTTTAAAACGCTTTCCATCACTGACATATATCGGCGAAAAACTACAGAAAATATGTGTGACTGTGCCTGAGGTCGTGAGTAAACCGTATTCAGGAGTAGCAACACAATAATGAAACAACTGTAAAATACTTTCCGATGTTGTATAGCTTTTCAGCTATGAAAGCACTTAGACTTGTATTTTAGGATTGGTTAACAACTAACAACACCAAATACATACGGTAACTTCGAAACATTGATGTCAGTCGTATACAAAAAGCTCAACCTCATAACCAGTCTTAGGAAAAACAATGAGATTGTAATAATAGATAAATAGTGGCTAACAGTGGAATCTAGGACGCGCGTTTCGTCCCGTTTGGGACTCGTCAGACGAACCCACCACATCCCAAATTTGAATGTCACTGAGGGAATTGAACCCATTACCTTGCTGTTCAAACGCCATCGCGTTATCCACTAAGCTACTAAGTGCAGAGACTGATCAATTATAGTCCTAAACATCAATGGGAAGACCCAAACTATCAATATATTTGAATCAAAATTACCAATGGAATTGGTTTGAAATCTAGAATTACTAAAAGATTTTTTAATGTTTTCCTAATTCACGTTATCAGCTACTGTCCTGTTTATCAAACAGAGCTTTCGTATGACAGTTTGATTTTTTTGTATTTATTCTCTTTTTAGAAAGCAGTAAATGCGATTATAGCATTACAGCGTATGGGTGTTGTACTACAACACTCGCCTATAATGCATTCAAGACATCCAAGTCTGTCTATACATGGCATAAATAGATCATTTGAAAATGAAACTAAACGACCTAAACTTCCACAAGTCACCGGACATAAATTATTATCAAGTAGCCCAACACCACCCCCAACAGTTAGTAAAGAAAGTTCACCAAAATTAATGAAGAAACCTTCAGGTATATTTAGAAAAACCAGTTTCTTTGGTAAAACACGAAAAGATGACACCACTACTAATAGTACTAGTAATAATGGAACTAAAACTAAAAATAAAGCTAATGAAAACTTATCAGATCCGTCAACATCCCATAAAAATAAATTAGACCTATCACTTAAATTGAAACGTAAAGAGAGTGGTAAAGGTTTTGTTTTGCAACGGCATAAAAATAGTCAACAGTCAATATCATCAGATAGTCCGTCAATTATACCTAAAATTAGTATAACAAGTGAACCAAATTCCAGATCCTCAAGTAAATCGGAAACAGTTGTAACCAACCCCAAACAACAAAAGGACACTTCTACTTCGTCATCATCTATATTTAAAATTCAGAAAAAAAATAGTGCATCAAAAATAATACAATCAAATGTGAAACAATCAAATCCTTTCATTGTAAAAGATAAAAAATCCTCCACATCAACATCACCGTTACCACCAATCTCAACCTCTAATCCTCCATTAACAAAATCAATAGAGAATACAACCAATGAAAAAGAGAAATTATCAATTGGTAAAACAAAAACAACATTGAACACAACTGATACTACTAACAATCTTATTAGTAGTCATAGTAAAACAACAGACACAACAACTGTTAATACACATCATAATTTTCATAAAGTTCCAACAAAATCAAAAAATCCAACATCCATTACAAAATCAGATATTGCCCTAAAAATTAATTTCTTTTCAAATTTATCTAAAGAAGGAAAAGTTAAGTGATCATTGTACAGTGATTCTATTCTCTACTTTTGCAATGTTTTATTCATCTATTTGTAAATTCTTCTTCGGGGTTTTATGAAATATATTGTTGTTTTTTTGTTTTCATTTCATCTCCATTTGTCCATGTTTTGTATGTATGTATGTATGTATGTATGTGTGTGTAAGTAAGTAGTTAGGTAGGTAACAAGAGTTCAAATTCACTTACTTCAATAAAGGAATTATTTCATATTTCAATAATGAAACCATACAAAATAGGTTTTGTTATAAGAAAAATATGATATACTTAATAATAAACAAATAAAAAAATAAAACAAAATAAAAAAATTTTTTTCTACATATCAATTTAATCATCCTAAATGATTGATATTCATAATAAAAAAAACCTGTTCGTTTTTTTGGTTTTGTTTTATTTTGTTGTCAAGGTGTTCATTATCTAATGAAAATGATATAATTATTCACTAATAATATCACATATATTAACTTCTCATGTTCATAGTTACTAAGATAATAATATTGTACCTTCATAGATTTTCTCAATAAGGATCAGTTTGTTTGTTTGTTTTTTAAATGAAATAAATCTAAAAAAATATTATAATCATACGGTTTCTTTGTTTTAATCTGTACAAAAGTTCATTATTCAAATGAATGACGAAAACAAACAAAACAAAAATTCTTCTGTTATTGTTTTATCTTTTATTAAAGTATAAAACAATAAAGATTACATCATCAATAAGTTAATAAACATCATGTTCTTTTTTTTTGGTTTTGGTTATTTATAACTTACTATTTCATTATTTTTCATCTATTTCATTTTATCTATATAAAAAAGGATTATTATTTGAAATAAAATAAAAAATGACAACTTAATTAAGTCTGATTGGTTTTGGAAACAAGTTCTATTTTGAGAGAGTTTATTGTCATTTATCAAGGGATTTGATTTGAAGAATGTTAAGTTTAAAGTGGTTACGAGTTTATTTAGCCTGCGAATGAAACAAAGATTTGTGGTCAAAAAAAAAAACTAATAAACTAGCTATTCTATTGCGTCCCAGCCCTGCTAATTAGAGAGAGAAGTCGAAATCTGAACGGGGAATTATATTCTGCAAAAAGCCAGAAGAACGATCGACAAAAACAGACACAAATTAAAACGTATATATACAGCACAAAACCGTCCTTGGGAAGGGTTATAAAATAGCATACTAAAAGACACAACGGACCAATAGCGTTTAAGATCCCCCCAAGTGGGAAATACATGAAAGTGAATGCTGTAACTTGTGACCTGTGTTCCCTGTTAATGTATAACGTAACGATACCGCCAATTAGAGAGCAGTGACTTATCGATTGGATCAATGACGCGTAAACTTGTATGAGCAGTCTAGAGTCCTTATTGACCCTGTTTCGTGCCTAGCCCAGACATTTAAGTCCAGAACACCGATTTCAGCCTCTAAAATATGAATCATTTATTTCAAATATACTCGGTTTATATATCAACCAGACAGACCACATCGTGCCAATAAAATAGGAAACAACATTTATACGAGATTTGGCCAAAGGTGGATGTGAATGAGGGAGGTAGTAATTAATAGACGGGGAATAATTCAAGAATAGTAAATCGTATAATAATAGTCTATGGGTCAAAACAAAGCTCATAATAGGAGGGACATCAATATGAATAGCTTAGTTATTTAACAATTATACGATAAAAATATACACATAGTATTGGTCCACAAATGGATCCCATTATGGATTCATTATGCTTATCGGGACATAACAGTGAAAAGAGCGCTTTTGGCGCGAAAAGGGATTAAAATTTTCAAAATAAAATTACAAAACTAAGTCCTTTTTCAAGTGAGTTCTGGGGACCTAACGGCTCCAAAAAAGAAATATCATCTAAACAATAATACTAGTTTCTTTGCTGATCTTTTAATTATGTTATCTCACTCACACATTACTACGTAGCTAGTATATATTGATATAATAATCCCATCCCTTTTGTAACTGGTTTCTGATGTACACTGTATATATTTGTAGTCGTGAATAGCCCACTAAAATGAACAATTTTTTAGCCATTCAACAGTGATACTAACCATACTAAGCTGAAGGTGTTTAGTTAAGTATCACTTCTTTTTATTTATTTGAACATAAATATTGGTACAAAGGAGCACCGAATTCATATGCGCCACATAAGTCACTCGATTTGTTTGTAGGCTATGACACTGCCCGGGTACTAAACCGAAGCAGATGGTTTTCTTAGAGGGCCATATCCTGAGCCTCTGGCCTAAAGGTCTGACCCACAAGGTAATGGAGCGACGTCAGGAGATGCCATCCCATGATAGCCGGTGATCACTAGTAGGTTCATACACTATTTGTTCCACCAGGTCTCTGGAGCTCATGTGCACCACTGGTTCGGAATCAGAGTTTTTCAAATTTCCTAGGTGGACCCCCCATACTCATCAACTCAGTCAAAGAGCCAGACATTCGCTCTTCGTCCTCTCAATTCCGTAAACAACACGCCGGCTGTGAAAAGGCAGTGGGTAGGATTTTCCTCGCAGTGGCTGTAAACGCATGGCCATGTGAGAGCATTTCGAGAGGGAGAGCGGACTCTCTCACCCTCGGTCGTACCAGGGCATTTAAGGGTTAGGAATCACTATCAGATTATAGTACGATCTGACATGAAACGCTTATCCTATGATAAATAGCCGGTTTGGAAGTCCCATATTTACCGAACTTCGCACACAAAAAATAACCTACCTAACAACCATTATCACATTACCCTTTGTCTGCCTGTAAGTCAATTCGTTAGAAGATATATGGGTTCCAGTATTATCTGACGTCGTATATAGAGTATTTTTTCACGTACGTATGTGGTATTTAAACATTTTTTCAATAACCTGACCCATTCGGAGTCGTGGAAACCTAAAACTTCATTAAACAAATTACGTTCAGTTCAGTTGCAATATATTTGTATGTACCATAAGTGTTTTAAATACTAAGCTATCGTTAGATATTGAAAGTCGAGTTATCACCTCAATCAATTACAGAGATAACCTTAAGAGACTATCACTCAACCAAAAAAGTGTTTAGTTACAAAGCGATTTAGAATAAAGTAATGAAACTTAGGTAAATAAGCAATTTTAACATGATTGATGGACGAACAAAAGTTAAGGTTAGGCATTAGGAGCCCTGGTAGATACAGGATTTGAGGTTAGAAGTTTTAGGGTTAGTATATGTATATAGAGTAAGTGAATAATTTTCAGTCACAAAAGCACCCTTGACCATGCCCTGAATCACATGAAGTACGTCCAGGAATAATCTGTATTAGATACAGGTATTTCTTGTGATTTAGCCAACGCAATATGTTACATTCTCTGTGTGGTTGGAACAAAGATAATTTTTACCATTTTAACCATTCTAGGAACTAAGTATCAGCAACTTTTTCTTATTTTTCAATAAGATACCTGCTATACTTCAGTAAGGTTTGAATCTTGCACGAAATTCGATAAACGACATCTTTAATATGACCAGTTCCCTGAAGGTCGTCAATATAACATAGTTTTGTCGACTACTTATCAAAATAGATACATTGTAATCAGTATACACACATCCAGACATGATAATAGTACATCTCAGTTCATGTGGATAAAGCACAAGAACAGAATGATTGCAAAGTATGCTTTACGGTATAAATCTAATCTTTTCCATTTGTAATTCTTTGAACTTCACACTCATTATCAATGTTAGCTTTATGCTCTAAAACGACAACAAAACCATAAAAAAGGAAACAGTTAGATTACTATAATACATAATATACAGATATGCAGTAATACAATATCAGCATGTTATTTTGATCCTCCGGTTTTCAGCTTCTTTGCAATTGAACTAAGCGGGGCAACATGAAAATCTTCGGGCCTGAAAGAATTTTTCGAAAGAAAATATCACTCAGAGAATATATGTAAGTAACATGGAATAGCATTACCGTATACATATACTACACTTTAGATTTCGCATTAATGTAATAATAATTTAATGACGAAGAATTGTGAGTAATACCAATCGTTATAGTTAAATTGAGATTAGGTCAGATAACTGACAATGAATTTAAATATTTATTCATGAGAAATTATTTTAATAAACGGGGTCTGTGAAGATTGTTAAATTTTATCTTTTACATCACGGAGTGATCTTAGTTAGGAAGCATTGGAGTTTTTCCGAACTGGTAGGGAACTATTTATCAGTGTGCATAAATGAAGCCACTGGGAACCTAACCCAGGACCTACAGGTTTCGAGGTGACCAATTTCTAGACCACTGAGTCAGGTTGACATTCTTAGCTTCAATGAATCCACGATATCGCATGACAATTTTCTAATGTCTTACATCTGACATAACTAAAATCCACTAGTCAACCGTCGATATTAGTTGCTAGTGAGTATATGGTTATTCCAATAGATTTACAAATATGAATATGGATTTTACAAACTAAACCAATGCGTCTTAGTAGACAAATAAACATTTATGTATTAAGTTTTACGTCGAACTTTTGTACATGAGGGGAGGGGATGGAGACACTACTTGAGTGATGTAAAACTTTGACCCAAGTCATTATTTTAATCATTGGGTCAAAGTGAACTGACAATCATTGAATGAAGACCAGAGAAAACACAAAAAGACACCTGAAATATTGATATAAAGCTTATTGCGAAGACAACTAGTAAGTTTCATTGGTACTGAAGTTAATAGACTGTGTTGCTCATGTAAAATCACTATGTACGCCAATGCGTTACATCAACTGAAGTATGTTGGGAAAGTGTTAATGATAAATTCAACTGATGTTTTCTTCCGTGTCAGCTTCTGAGCTCATGTCAATTTGTCTACTTATACAATTTTTGTCAACTAATTTTCAGTGAAAAAATAAACATGTACTAATTTAATAGACTTAAAGATGTTTTTCAAATGTAGAGTAAATAATCTTCTTAATTAACAATTTCCGAAAATAACCAATATTTTATTTTCAATCAATTTGAACTACGTTAACTTCAGAGCCTTTTCAAATAGATTCATAAGTACCAGACATTTGCATGGTTTTCTGAACTACTTACATTTGAAAACAATTGATTTTATAGGGTTTGACCCAAAACAAGCAAATAAAATAGCAACCGACATAAAATACAATTCTATAGGCGACTAACCAATCAAAAAGTTTAGGAAATTCATTAAGTTCTTCAGCAGAGTATTCATCAAGACGTTTTGGTACTTTCATAACTTGTGGTATTACTCCTGAAATATTTGCAATAATGTCCTTGGGAATAGTCTAAATTCAGTAACTAATTTTCAATTACTAATCAATACTTCAATATTATCAGGGTATATGTGAAGACGAGATAACTGATATTTACGGGATTCATTATTTCGTAAGACAGCTTTAATTTCTAAACGAATAACCTGAGACGATAAAAAAACAAGGAATTCATAAAAATAAGTAAATAGAAATCTCAACTTAACGTAAACTAGATAGGGCTTACTATTTTAATGAGTAGTTGGTTAAGATTAAATTTAATAAAATGACTTTTCAAGTAAAAATAGAACAGTGACTGGTGAGGTGGTGGCTCAGTGGCTAATATGTTAGAATTTCAGACATTCGTTCCCAGGTAGTAATCAAATGGTAGAACTAGCCCTCAATACCTAGAAAAATGATTGAAGTCAATTAAACGAATGTTTCTGATAAGTATTATAATAATAGTACTAATTAGCGGGAAATAAATAGGTGTCTAATTGTTTGTCTGAATAAGTACTGAGTGAAGATTTGTAGACTAAACTATGAGTCATATTTTCCGTCAGGAACAACGGCGTTAATTAACAGAGTGATCAAGATAAAAGGTTTCGACAAACTGATTCGTGATTAATCTTAATAGAGATGTTAGTGTGACTAATTAGGTTCTTAAAAAGTTGATATTTTTGTAGTTTTTAGAAGACGTAAGCCCAACCAATCACCTTAAGAAAGAAGGCCAGAAAAGGTCAATACACAAAATATCTAAGTTTTACCGATAATACAAGTAATAATAGTAACAACAGAATAGTGTCAACGTTTAATTGCAACTAAATACAAAACGATAACAACTTTGATGAGGTCCGAACTAGTATATGTAACTAAAGATCCCACTTTATACCAAGACCTCGTTGATCGCTTAAGATAGCATAATCTAAAGTATCAAATTACGTAGGTAGTAGGAATTCCATGTGGAGATGATGTATAGTAATTAGTATGATTCAGGATTTTGCTACGACACTTTATTGTTACGTTTGGTATGTACTTTTAATAATAAGTATACGTATACGAAGATCGCGAAGGATTGGACCTTAAACGTTCCAAACTTTGAGAAATATTGTTCATAAACCAAGATTGATAAACAGCATTTGCTCGTCTATTAACAGTACAATTACAAAGTCTCTAACATAACATCAATAAACAGAAACTGAGTTACCACAACTATTAATTAAAATACTTCAACATCACATTTAAAAGCACTAGGAACCAAACTGGCGAAAACCTTATAATTTGTACACATTATTTCTCTACTACTATTACTATGCGTATATTATCTAACCTGCAATTAGTTGCTTCACTTATCACGTATTGTGTTTCTAGATCCAAGGGTTATGAAGTCTTTAATTTCCATACTCAACTACACCCAAATGTATCACATACATATATAGGAGAAAACTCCAGGATGCTTTTATTGATTCTGATACTGAGAACAGAAATGAGCGTCACAATAAAAAACAAACAAATAACCCATGGTTTTCAGTGTTTAAAAGAATTATTTTAGTATTAAAAAATACCTGTGATGTGAAGGCATTTCAAACTTTATATTTTATAAGAGATAACTTGGAATAATTAAGGAAGATTCTAGGGTTGAAGGCTTGAGGTAGTGTTCAAAGTGATTATCGGAAATGCATGTAGTAGTCTAGTTAACGTCTTGGTGATGCGTGAACATCTACTTAAGAGCAAGTAGTTATACGGCTACTGTGGTATTTCAGGCTTAGAAAGTAGTAATTTAGACGACTTTCACTTCATAATACTGGCACTAGTAGATATTAATAAAATTTCACAGTAATGTGGCCGGATGGAACATTTAGAAGTCAAAGGATGTCATCAATAGTCCAGTCTGATGCCAGATATAAGAATCTGATAGGTAACTGCTGTTTTGTTAGGCCGATTAGTATAATCGTTAAAGTACTGAAAGAGCCTAGCATATGAAGTAAAGCAATCTTTGATCAATGAATATGACTTTAGAAAAGATCGCTCCTGTTTAATTAGTATTACTGCAAGAGGTTGCTCAATAACTAAGGGTAGGAATGCATTTCTGCATGTAGTATATATATATATATATATATATATATATATATATATATATATATATATATATATATATATATATATATATATATATATATAAGTAGACCGATTGATTGCTTGATAGTGTTAAACTTATAATAAAGATGTAAAAATTATGAGCTATCAGACTGAAGTGATAGAGGATAAAATGAAAATAAGTAGCATGTTGTCCTCGTGGAAACTAGTGTTAAGTGAAGTGACTTAAGATATTAACTGGGACCATTTTCTTTTTCCAATTCACTGAGTAGTGTAGATCACTTAAGATACCTGACAGTGATGTACAAGTACGAAAAATGATGCGTATTAATAACAAATCTAAGTTGAAGGCTGATTGGGTGGTCTAACATACAATAACTAGTGGGGTAATGTTGATTAGCGGAGAGGCGTGGTGTAAATCACCATGACTCACACCATTTCATAGTTAATGAGGAGTTTCTATCAAGAATTGTATATTAAAAGGAGCCGAAAGCCACTGTAAGTTATAAACCCAACTGAGAAGTGAAATATCCCGAGTCAGTTAATTGATGTACCTATTTTGTCATTGACAAATAAGTATAATGATTAAACTCAGTAAGGTCGATAAGTAATAGAATGAATAACTTTGCAAAACTACTGACAGACTAAACACTGTCATTTAGTATGCATGAATTAAAACTACTTGTGAGTTCACAATTATCTACCTACCTCAGTAGGATCACGCCTGTGAACTTCCTCCATTGTTTCTTCAACACGATTCACAGGGAACCTATAGTAAAAACTTCGCATCAAAAAGTCCAAACCTTGTATGTGTAGTGTATAAGAACCGTTTCCAATATCGACTATTATCTTTTGCAGCAATGTGTCTAGAATTGATCACAACAACATGACTCCCAAAGTCGGCTAGAAATAAAGACACAATATTAACGTACCACTAGGGTCATAGTATCGGATATTCTTTCCCGTCAAATACTTAGCAATTCTTTCGGCCGAGAGCATAGGGCACTGCATGAAAGAGTCATAAATGAGCCATTCTCTAGCAAACGCCCTCCATTGCTAAGGTTTATGACTTAGGAAAATAGAATACGTACTAAAACCCTCCAATGTGACATTAGCTACGAAAATAGCGCAGGAATTGATTTTTTACACACTGTCAATCGTCCGAATGGTTCAATTGGTTCTGGACGGAATCGAAGAAGCTTTCGTCTAACGGGCTTCCGTATCTAGTAGAGGTGGATCACTGATGCCTGCAGGTGAGAAATTAGGTAGTCCTTAAGAATATGTCAAGGTTTATCTTGGAGGACTACTGGGAAGTTGCTTGGACTAGCTCAATCTGCAGCGAATGATAGTATTTGACTACTCTTAAGGAGTAGAAAACCTGCTTCCAGCTCGTTCTGCTTTGTCTTGTCTCCAGTTTCTGGGTGTGAACCCCAATTTTTTTCATTGGGACTAAGCTTAAGTTTGTGTTTAAGGGGATGCCCAGGAGTATATGAAATGCTGTAAGTCATTAGGTCACCCTGTAGCGGTAAATAAATCCCCAAAATAAATAGCCCTGTAAGTTTTCGACATTGGATGCTGACCACATGTTTTAGTGGACTCATCTAGCTGAGGGCACTCGGTCAGGCATCCGCACCAGATCACGTGTGGTAACGCCGTGCTCAACATCAACCTCAATCGCTAGCCAGATTAGATCGGAGAATTCTGATATTTTGGTTATCGCCAAATACACTCTTCCGATCTCCTCGACTCTGTCTTTTGATTTCTCTCGGTGGGTACAAATCATATTAGGTGTTACTGGTAGAAGCGTTGTCAAACACTGAATACCTGTGTCATTCTTCATTGGTGAGACCGACGTGATCTGGTACACCTAATTGCAACTGTGAGTCTGTTCCTTTTTGGGATTTTTTATATATCATTGCCTTATTTTTTATTTTTTTTAAACATTGTCGTTTTTTTCTTGGATATATATATATTTTCCCCTCGTTCATTATTATGACCGAACGGACCCCCAAGGTATTTAAGATTAAGACCACGTCCCCACCCTCGTCCCAACTCATGCCCTTCTGGCCCGACAATATCGAAGCCTGGTTCTGCTACTCAGAAGCTGACTTCCACGAGCACAGCGTGAACGACACACGTGCACAATTCCTCGCAGTAGTCAAGGCACTACCGCGCGAATTCAACAGGTACGTAACACCTAGTATGTCTACTAGTGATGTTTCCGATCCTTACGAAATCTTAAAACGCTCGATTCTTAAACGAGGAGACCTAACCGATCGACAAAGGTTAGATCGACTCTTCAATAACATCGATCTGCAACACGGTTCTGCGACGGACATGTTGCAACGGATGAGAGAGGTAATAGGCCCAAGAACTTTCGACGAAGGTCTATTCAAACAACTCTTCTTGTCAAAACTTCCCCAACAGGTGCAAGCAGTTCTGGTCTCGTTCCAGAACAACGCCTTAGACGAACTAGCTGCATCTGCCGATCGTATCTTAGAAATTACGAAATCTTCTACTACCGAGGTATTTTCAGTCAAAGAAAAGCATCAAACGACTCAGAATGATATAACGGAGTTATGTCATACACTCACGCGTTATCTTAATCTTCGTAACGACCGTAATCGCTCGCACACCCCACGTAGAAGCATTTCACGCAAGCGATCTGTCTCTAGACCACGAGAGACAGATAACCCCGACTGGTGCTGGTATCACAACCAGCATGGAAAGTCTTCCAGAAATTGCAGAAAACCCTGCAATTTTCCCAACTCAAAACCGACCGACTCGAAAAACAACTCGGGAAACTTCCAAGCCGGCACGCGTTAACGGCAACCGTAGCCGGCGAACATAGCCGTCTGTTATACGTCACAGATGTGACAACGAGAGTTCGCTACCTCGTCGACACTGGCGCAGAAGTAAGCGTTCTCCCAGCGAATCCCAACGACCAGCTCAACGAATCGGCCCTAAACTTACAGGCGGCAAACGGAAAACCTATCGCTACGTATGGCAAAAGGTACGTTTACCTTAACGTGGGTTTACGCAAACCCATCCACTGGATTTTCGTTATTGCAGATGTTTCTATGCCAATCATTGATATGGACCTTCTACAACACCACAATCTGATCATCGACACTCGCAAACGGAGGCTAGTAGACGGAAACACTAATTTGTCCGTTTGCGTAACTTCTTTTACTGGTTGTAGAGTATCCCCAGTCACAGTTAAACATATGATAGACCCACTCTATCAACCACTACTCGATAAGTACCCTGGGATACAACAAACTCAACCGAAACTACCGTGTGTAACCAGCAATGTTACACATCACATCACGACTACAGGACCACCTGTATTTTCTAAAGCACGACGACTAGCTCCCGAAAAACTAAGGTTAGCGAAAAACGAGTTCGACCATATGATAGACTTAGGAATCATACGACCGTCAAATAGCCCATGTGCATCTCCGTCGCACATGGTCCCTAAAAAGGACAGCAACGATTGGCGTCCAACTGGTGACTATCGGCGATTGAATGCGAAAACCATTCCCGATCGTTACCCGCTGCCTCACATTCACGATTTAACAGCTACCTTAAAAGGTACAACTGTCTTTTCGAAAATCGACTTGGTTAAAGCGTATAACCAAATCCCTATGGCTACTGACGACATACCGAAAACAGCTATCATTACTCCCTTCGGACTCTATGAATTTTTGCGAATGCCTTTCGGTCTAAGAAATGCTGCTCAAACATTCCAAAGATTCATAGACGACGTTTCTCGAGGTCTCAACTTCGTACATGCGTATGTTGACGACTGCCTAATCGCAAATCCGGACAGAGAAACACATCTCAAGCATCTGGATCTTGTTTTCGAACGACTACAAAACATGGCATTACTGTAAACGTTGAGAAATGCCAAATTGGAACCGACTCATTAGACTTTCTGGGACACACTATCGATGCTCAAGCTATCCGACCCCTTAGAACCAAACTGGCGGCCATTCTGGATAACCCAGAACCGACCACCGTCAAGCAATTACGCACGTTTAACGGCCTCGTAAGTTTCTATAGACTTTCCTTACCGAAATGCGCATTACTCATGAAACCGCTAACCGACCAACTTCGTGGAAATGCGAAATCCATTAATTTGGACGACACCGCACGAAACGCATTCTCCACAGTTAAGGAACTGATCGCTAAAGCAACAATGCTCGCACATCAGGACACCGAAGCACCCATTAGTATCGCAGTGGACGCATCCGACTCAGCAATCGGAGGAGTCTTACAACAATGGGTTAACAACTCATGCCAACCCTTGACATTTTCCTCTAGAAGGTTGCTAGACATCGAATCAAGGTACAGCACATTCGGTAGGGAACTCCTTGCTATGTATTGTGCTGTACGGCATTTCCAACACTATATAGAAGGCCGTGTATTCACTCTTTTCACCGACCATAAACCGCTCACTTTCTCGTTAAGCTCTCATTCAGACAAGTACTCTCCCCGTGAGTCTCGACAACTGGACTACATCTCGCAGTTTACTTCAGACATGCAACACATCTCTGGAGCAAACAATGTAGTTGCAGACGCCTTATTTCGCATAACTTCCTTGAACAGTTTCCAAGGAATCGACCTTCTTAAACTCGCCGAGCTTCAAAAAGAAGACACTGATCTTCAGCACGAGTTATCGTCCACAACCCTCAAGTTACGTATCAAACAGATGGGAACAGGTAAGGAAACCTTACTGTGTGACACATCTACAGGTAGGGATCGCCCAATCGTGCCGAAACGTTATCGACGCAACGTCTTCAATACGTTGCACAAACTTTCTCATCCAGGTGTCCGTGCAACCATCAAGCTTATAGTAGAACGGTTTTGCTGGCCTGGCATGAATAAAGACGTGAAGGAGTGGGCACGCTTCCGTGTAAGCTGCCAAAAATCTAAGGTTATCAGACACAATAAATGTCCCTTAGGCTCATTTAAAACTCCCGATGCTCGTTTCGACCATGTTCATCTGGATTTGGTAGGACCTTTACCAGATTCAAATGGATACTCTTACCTCTTAACCTGCGTAGACCGTTTCACTCGATGGCCAGCAGCAGTACCTATCAAGGACATCACTGCTGAAACAGTGGCTCGCGCCTTCGTCGGACGATGGGTACCAAACTTCGGCTGCCCTTCAACCATCACTACAGACCGCGGACGTCAGTTTGAATCTGAACTTTTCCGTTGTCTGACCACACTTTTAGGAACCACTCGCTTCCGAACGACTGCCTACCACCCACAAGCAAACGGGTTTGTAGAACGCTTTCACCAACAACTAAGGGCTTCACTATCAGCTGCAAACGTTTCACAGTGGACCAACGCTCTTCCACTCGTCTTACTGGGTATCCGCAATGCAGTGAAAGCTGACATTGGATACACTGCGGCTCAACTCGTTTATGGAACGACACTTTGACTTCCAGGAGAATTCGTGGATCCTTCGTCCTCTTCAATGCACATGGATGTAACTTCCTACACGAACAGGCATACAAACGCAATGCGTTCAGTTAAACCTGCTTCCACTCGACCTCAATCAACTGATGTTTTCGTTCAACCTGACTTACGATATAGTACACACGTTTTCGTTCGTCGAGACTCGCATCGACGACCCTTCGAATCAGCATACGAAGGACCTTTCAAAGTTCTTCAACGTGAATCTAAGTACTATATAGTCGATAAGAACGGAACAAACGATAGCATCAGCATCGATCGCCTAAAAGTAGAGTATTTAGAAGGAAATCCTATCTACGTCGATTTTCCTTCGGTACAATCGAACGACACGACTCCACTCATAATTCCTCAACCGACAACCAACACTAGCGATGATACTCCGAATGTACCTGAAAATAAACTTAAAATGACGCGTTCTGGAAGAAGAGTTAGATTTCCAGAGCACTTAAACGACTATTGCACATAAGGCACTACTAGACATTTAATATTATCTCGATCTTTCTTTTTACGATATATAATATATTTTAAAAAAAAACAATTTTAATATGCTTACATATTTTTATTTTTTATTTCAAAAAAACTAAAGAAAAACATTAAAAAATTTTTTAACGATATTACGTGTAAATTAGTTTATATTCCAATTTTTTCGCCGACATTGTGTTTTTACGCACATACGAGTGTATTTTGACATGCACTTACATTTTCTTTTTTCTTTTCCAGGACTGCTGGAAAAGAACGATGACGTTTATGAGGAACTGAAATTGTCATTGTACATTTTCTTTTTTTACTATGTTGTACCTCGGTCCTATATAGTAAGGAAAGACGACCAGACGCTGCTAATCCTAGCAAGCTATCAGAATAGTGTTTACTAACGACAAACTCGCTGGGTTTAACCTTCAGGCTGGCCACGTC